TCTATATGTCCGCGGCAAACGGAATCGGCAGATAGCTCCAGAAAGCTGCTGAACATGATAATAGTGACGACGCTTTCGCGATCCACTAACGTCGGTCCTCGCGGACTCTGCTGCCTGCCGCTGAGACCGATCTTGAGGAATCTACGGCTCAGGCACAGCGAACCCGATGCGCGGTTCCATCACAAGAAATCAAATTCTCCAGGGCTCATGATCAAAGTGGCTTGTTTGCAGAGTGGCAAAACTTCTGGGAAGCTGGCCTGAGAATAAACACATCACCGAAGCGGCGACCTTAAAGTTGTGATCGGGCCTGACTTGAAACATGATGCTCGACCATCGACAGGATCCGTGAAGGAAGGTTGCGATTTGGAAGATTCGTCAGATAACCGATGTCAACTCAATGCAATGCACCTAGGGTTCATTGATAAAAGAGTGATTGTTATGCTTGATTGAGGAATTCCTCCCTTCCCGGTAGAAGCGGGGTTATGCCTCATCTCATCTACCCGTTCTCACCCGTTCTTACAATTTGTATTTATGCAGATAAGCAAGGTTCTGTTGGATTGACGACTGTGTCTGGATAATGGGATGCTAGAAATGCGTTGAATAATGTGCAAGAACCGGTGATGATGGGTAAATACAAGACAGAACCCCGCTCGGACCGGGATGGGAGGGAATCCCTGAATCAAGCACAACAATCACCCTTTGATCGATGACCTCAGTGGTATTGCATTAAATCAACATCGTTTATCTAACAGGTTCAGATGCCTTTCATCCGAGTAGTGGTGTGCCAGGTATATAGCAACAAGTGACAAAACAGAGGCAGCTTACACTATTCACGCTTTTTCGAAGGCCGGACTTTGGTCTATGTGAACGGCCCAAAGCATGTCCCACTCTACTAAAGTACTCCGTAACAAAAGGTTTGTGTTATGTTTGATGTATCTACGGCGACGCTGAATCTGGAGTTTGGCAGAACGGCGGACCTTCTCGGCCAAGCAGAAGGATCACAGCTGGTCAGGGAAAAAGCGTTTGGGCGGTGACTTTGGACCTCAGCTGGTGACGAAAACAACAACGGTCTTTCATTATCGCCAGCCTTCTCCTAAATCCTGCGACGTAGGAAATGAAGGAACTTTCCTAGTTGAGAGTGTCTTCCTAGGCCTATGTCGCAAGCATCGCTTTCTGCGTGCTGAAGAACGCCACTCATCCAAGTAAAGGGAACTTGACACTGAGGACAACAGTAGTCGAAATTAGCATCGGTCGAAATATAATGTTGAGACTGTGTGCATTCCTTTGCGATATCGTCGACGTCTTCGGAGTTAACCCCCGACGGGCATGACCCTGCTTCGAGGTGGAGCACCATAGCCGAATGTCGGTCGAACTTGCTTCGACACCCTGGGCACGGAATGTTCTTAGGCGCATGAATCCGTTCGTGCTGCTCGGACAGTAATTTAGCGAATGAAACCTAATGGATTGGTATCTCGTACGTTTCTCAGATTATCAGGCCAATCGAAACTCCTGCCGCAATCACGGCATACATTGTGTACAGTGTTCTCATGCTGTTCCAAGCTGATTCGAGCAGCGAATAACCTATCGCAGGGCGCGCAGTAATGGTGGCACTGCTTTCGATGGTCTAGCAATTGCTCTGCGGACGGAAAGTCAGGTTTCGAGAGGCACTCCTCGCATCTGTGATGACTAGATGAATTGGAAAGATGTTGTTCGAGACCCTTGGATTTGCTGAATACACGTTCGCACCGCCCGCAGTAGGCATTTCGGTGCTTAGCCTGATAATGTTTGATAAGACCGGTCGATTGTGCAAAGCTACGATCACAAATTGAGCAATCCATGACTAGTCAGATGGAGCTCGTCAATCGGGTAAAGGTGGGCAAATGGACCACAACTTTGGTAGGAAAAGTGCGGGGAAGGAACGGAAGAAGAATAGCTTGAAGTCGGCATGACGGAGAAACTAGGTCCCGGTCACATGTTCGAGGGGCACGGGGATGGAGAACACCGATTTTTCCTCATGATGCCTTGTATATCATTTGGGCATCGAGATAGGTAAAAGATGTCAGCTGTCGATTTGAAGTATTACTGTACATGAGAGCGGGACTCACTCGGAAGCGGAGAGTGCGAGCGCGCGTGGGTGTTTGTGGCATGCAACCAAGTTCATGTAGCGTACGGTGAGGCCACAGATGGGTGAGGCAATAGGTTAACTTGGAATGGGAAGAAAAATAAGCCGTGTCTCAGCAGCTCATGTGAAATTAACATTAACATGAGCCCTCAAGATGTGTGTCTTCCTATCGACTGGATGCTGTTCACTTCAGAGAACTGCTGCTGC